GTGTGTGTGTGTGTGTGTGTGTGTGTGTGTGTGTGTGTGTGTGTGCTGTAGAGGATGGAATCCAGGGCCTCGCTCCGGACAGTGTGCTAGCTGTCTCTGGGATTCTAATCCCATAGGTCCCAAATCGTGAATCCTGCATTTGAGCTGGCAAACATTCCTGCCCTTCACTTTTAAGATTCTCAACAAACCGCTGAAGGAATGTAGCCTCCTTTACGTCTAACCACGCCCCTCGAGGTTCTGGTGGGTCTCCACATTCCTTCAGTCCCTCCCACACGCAGTGGTTTTTCCCTCTACCCTCCCAGCGCTTATTCAAACTCATGCAAAGTTCGGCGCCCACACGCGGGAGTTCTCTGCCTCGTTCTGGGCAGAACTCGGGATTGCTCAGAGGACCTCCCAAGTTGAAGAGGAAGAAAGTCTGACTGGCGGACCACTGAGGCCGTTTGCATGGCATTCTGCCCGGCAGGAGACAGGGGCAGAGAACATCCATTCAAAAAGACAGGGACCCACACTCTGTGGTACTCCAGCCAGGCCAGACCACCAGCGTCCCTTACTCATTCGTTTATGTATACGTGTATGCAAGCATTCAGCAGTACTGTGTATTGGGTATGAACTCTTCCGAGCACGACCCAGGGTTAGCAGCACCCCTGAGTTCCACCCACTAGGCCCATTATCACTCTTCCCCCAGTCCTGACAACCAGAGCTGCCTCACAGCCTGGCCAACTGTCTGCCCCATCCCTCAAGACCACTACTGAGAAAGACACTCACCCTACACATATGTGTTTGTTATGTACTTTAGTGTATGTATGCCCGGTTTATAAAAATAGACTGAGTTTTGAGTGGGTTTAATTGACTTCAACACAGAAGTGGAATTAGTCTGTGCAGAAGTAAACAGTACAGGTGATGGATGGAGTAAAGGAGACAGGTGGGAAGGAAGCCATGAAGCATCACAGAGCTAACTACTGACACCTGCAACTCAGATTCTGTCCTGCTAAGACTAGTATTGTACACACACACACACACACACACACACACACACGTTATCTGCTTTGACAAGGGGCCTGGGCATTTGAACACTCTTGTGGGGTGTTAGGTGAGGGAATGCCCAGAGGGCATTAGGCCTCTAGTACTCTGGCTTGTCACAACCTTGCTCTCAGGGCCTCCAGGAAGAGAAAGGTAGGTCCTGGAGCAGGTCCAAGGGATATTAGATATGACCAGCATCAGTTACATCACTGTTGACAAGGTGCCATTTGATGGCAAAGAACTATAGAGAGCTAACATGTTACCTTTTTAAACCATTTCTCAGAAGTTTTTGCTCAAGTCGTATTGCCATAAAAATCCTCATTCATGTCTCTAAAGTTCCTATCATGTTTATTGTGGCATAATTAAAAATATTTTTATTAGGCTGGGTGTGGCGGTGCATACTTTTAACCTTAGCACTTCGGAAGCAGAGGCTGGTGGATCTCTGTAAGTTCCAGATCAGCCTGGTCTACCCAGCAAGTTCTAAGACAGCCAGTGCTACACAGTGAGACTCTGTTTCAAAACTATTTTCAAATTTTGTTCTCACCGTGTGTATGTGTGAATGATATGCATGTGGGTGTGTGTGCAGAAGAGCCTTGGCATGTGTGTGGACAACCTTTGGGAGTCATTCTCTCCCATTCTAGGATGGGGTTGTCAGTGTGGCATGGGAAGGACTTTAACCTACTGAGCCGCCTCTCTGGCCCAGATGATTTACTGTGTGTGTGCACACAAGACAGCTTTGTGGACTCCTGTCTCTCCTTCTACCTTGATGTGGGTTCCAGAGACTGCACTGAGGTGACCAGGCTTGCAGAGTGAGCCCCTTTATCCATAGAACAATCTTAGCAACCCTGTTGTGACCTAATTTTTATAAACAAAAGGCATAATCAGGACTGGCAAGATGGGTCAGCAGGCCAGGCGGCGGTGGCGCCCGCCTTTAATCCCAGCACTCGGGAGGCAGAGCCAGGAAGATCTCTATGAGTTCCAGGCCAGCTCGGTCTAGAGAGCAAGATCCAGGACAGGCACCAAAACTACATGGAGAAACCCTGCCTCAAAAAACAAAAACAAACACAAACAAACAAACAAACAAGATGGGTCATCAGGTTAAGGCACTTGCCACCAAGCCGATGACCTGAGTTGGATCCTGGTAGAGGAAGGGAACAGACTCCCACAAGTTGTCTTCTGAGCACTACATACATGTCATGTCACATGAACACCCACCCACCCACATGCACACTCATAAATAAATATAATTAAAAAAATTTCCAGGTAGTGGTGGTACACGCCTTTAATCCCAGCACTTGGGAGGTAGAGACAGGTGGATCTCTGAGTCTGAGGCCAACCTGGTCTATAGAGCAAGTTCCAGGACAGCCAGGGATACACAGATAAACTCAGTCTTGAAAAAAAATTAAGGTACAATTATAACTATTAAGCGTGGTAAATCTGGGCAAGCAATACTTGCCTATGGAACCATTCCCTTAATGAGAACACAGAATGTTTTGGGCTGGGGTTACAGCCTAGTTGGTAGAGGGCTTTCCTAGCATGTACAAGGCCCTGGGTTTGATCCCTAGTACCAAATAAATGGGACACAGAGACACACACCTGTAATCCCCACACTTGGGAAGGGGAGCAGAAATCCAAGGTTATCTCCAGCTACATGGTGAGTCTGAGACCAGTCTGGGTTACATTCTGAGATCCTGCCTCAAAAGCAAACACATTTTTATAGCCCAAAGGTTTCCTTAAGCTCTCTTCCAGTCAATTCTTCCAGCTCTTAGGTGACTCCAGGTAATTGGCAATAGATTTGTTTTTTCTTTTTGAGACAGGATTTCATGCAGCCTAGGCTAGCCTTGAACTCACCATATAGCTGAGCATGGCCTTGAACTCCTGGTCCTCCTGACTCCACCTTCCAAGTGCTGGCCTTACAGGTGTGCATAAGAATTTTTGGTTCATTGGGTGCTGGTGATGGGAACCAGAGCTTTATCTGTACTAGCCCATCACTCTACCAATAGAGCTATCTCCCCAGTCCCCATGAACTCATTGTTTGTTATTATAGATTAGCTTTGTATTTTCTGTAATTTCACATAAGCATAACCATGATATACTTCTTTTGTTTCTCTTCTCTGTGCTCACTTACTGCTTTCTTGAGATTGTCCACATCGTTACATAATCTACTAGTGTGTCCTTTTTCATGGCTGAGTAGTGTTCTACAGCATAGATGTGCCACTGTCCATCCACTTACTTGCCGGGAGAATTTGTGTTGACGTTAGTTCTTTTCTGTATGAATAAAGCTGTGGTAGGTGCCACGACCTTGAGAGAGGCCTTGTTTTTATTTCTCCTGAGTGACCTCAGACTGGAATCGCTGGGTCTGGAGCCAGGTACCTGTCTAACTGCACCATAAACTGTTGAGTTGGCAAAGTGTCTCCGTGACTCATGTTTCCATCAGCAGTGTGTGAATTTTAGTCACTCCACATCCTTGCCTTTTGATATTGTCATTTTTTAATATAATAAAGTCCCCGGGCTGGAGAAATAGCTCATAGACCAAGAGCACTGGCTGCTTTTCTAGAAGACCAGGGTTCTATTCTCAGCACTTTGAAGGTGGCTCACAACTGTCTATAACTCCAGTCCCATAGCCCCTTCTGGCCTCCATGGGCAGCAGGCATGCACACGGTGCATAGACATACATGCAGGCAAAACTAACAACAACAACAATAACAATTTTAGTACAATCTATTTTTTTTTTAAATCCCAACTAGGGCTATTGTGGGGCGTTTACCCACCACCCCCACAGCTTCCCAGAGTTTTCTTGAGTGCGAGCAG